CCCCGGTGTTTTTTTTTGTTTTTTTTTTTGTCCGGACATTGTTTGCACCCCGGGGACCGGTCCGGACTGTCCGGTGTCCGGTTATGTCCGGTGTCCGGTGATGTCCGGATCACCGGACAGTCCGGACCGGTCCAGACACTGGTCCGGAAGACAGTCCGGAAGTGTCCGGTGTCCGGGTCCGCGGTTACCATGCAAAAAATATAAGATCTTCAAAATGACTGTTCACACATATGTAGATATATACCGACGTACATACATAACATACATACATACATAAATACGTACGTACACTTATCGAACTTTGTTTTTTGAGGTCTTTTCTTCTTCCTCCCCCCCCTCCCGTCCTTACGGAGGGACCATGTTAATCTTCTCTGTACTGTTCCCATTTTAGTGGATGATGTCCCAAGGAACACATTGTTGTCAAAAAACTTTTTAAGAGGTATAGTGAAATTATTCAAATTAATAATTATTGAGAGTTTTGAGCTGAACAATGAACAACTCCATACCCTGGTTGTATCCTCCTTTGCTGCTCTCGTCTGCTCTAGCTGGTGCTCAAGCTCCTTCAGCTCTGACTCGTGCCGGAACTTCACTCTCTCAATCTATATGTGTATATGAAGCCATGCAACAGAGGTTCGTAAAAAAAAAAAAAAAAAAAAAAAAAGGCCATGCAACATCAGAGGATTGGAAATTGTTCAATGTCCAAAAAGGTCACACCCTAAAAAAAAGGAAAGCAAGTAAAGAAAAAATAGGCCATCTGAACCACCTTTTTCCGTTTCTCTTCTTTCTTTCTATTTTTTTTTTTTTTTTTTCAATAGCCCTTGTGTAAAACCCTCTATCCCGGCGGTGGTCAGAGAACCGTCAGGATTGAGGGTTTCCCTGTTGGGCTGCTCCATCTATTGGTGGGAAGCCGCACCTGCTGGAAACCGGGTCCAGCGTCCCTTTGATACATCTTATAACACAGAAATTGTTGTTTGTTGTTTTCCTGGGGCTGTGGGCTTTTTATTTCTCAGACCTGGGTCTCCAATGTCCCACGGAGCTGCTAATGACACCCTACCCTTCTTAGAGCACCCCTTATTTAATAGCCCAGCTCAGTTCGGCAGCCCCCTGTGGTAGGTCTGACCCATTTGAACCCTTAAACCCTATACCCTCTTGATCCTCATGCTCCTGACCTTCGTGGTCCTTGAAGCCTGGAGTACAGGCTGCAGGGCTCGCCTTGCAGGGATAAGATTAGGCAGGTAGATCTGCTGTTGTAGCCTAAATTACTTGCCTGCTTGATAGCGTAAGGTAAGTGACCATGCACTCAGATCTCATGAGTCGCCTTTTATAGCTAGAAGCTGACAAAGGCGTAGTGTATGTGGTTCTTGCGTAGCAGATATGACTAGGGTTATGTATTGCAGGACCTTGTAGTTACTATCCTGACTTTAGGAAGACAGTCCAATACCAAATTCAGCCCCTTGTCCCATGGGGCTTCGCATTACAGCCTAGGATTGAACGTGACATACTTGCGCGCTGTCACATCCTTTCAGTCATGAGTACTTACCCGGTGCTGCGCTCTGTTCCTGTGCAGCGTGGTGAGCTTCGTTCACTGCCGTGAAGTGGCTGGCATCCGCATTTTCTTTCTCTCTTGAGTTCTGACCTGGATCGGTGAGCCCCCTGTCCCTTTCCACGAACCCCATCTTTTCTGCCTGCCAATGAGCATCCTCCGGTGTCATTGCAGTCTTGATGGTGATGGCCTTTCAATGTCGTCG